TTTCTCCACCAGGACCACATTCCCGGTCCGGGCCGCTTCTAGTAGTTCTTGTTCCTTCCCCATCCCGACCGAAATTCTTCTAATCCCGGATTTATAATCCAAAAAGGGGATCCCCCTTTACTGTCTCGTGTGAAAAACCATCTCAGGGGGTTCTTTTTACTGCATGTTGCAGTAAGCGTTCCCTCAAATAGGTAGGTTATCGTCCGCGGTGTGCTGCAAGGTTGGCTGAGCAAGGCTCAGTTGCAGGAACGAGTCCATTGTCGAACCGAACGCAGGAATGAGGAACCGTAAATAGCGCGTTTTGCACGGTGCTGCCTGCTGCAGCTGGCTCGAGGGAACGACGAACGAGCCGGTTGCCAAACCCAGACCGCCACTCGCTCTCTTCGACTATTTCGTCCTCTCTTCTCTCTCTGTGTAGCCCAACAAACACACTGTGTCGTGTCCTATCGTATGTCTGTCTGTTATTGTAGCATCCCAATCTCTCCCTCTCTCTTTCTCTCAGTTCTCCACTTTCTTCGAACCGCACTCGCCACAGTGTGTAATGATCTCCTGCCGAATACAGCGTTGTACAGTATGGGCGTGGATGGCGGGGTTACAGCACCAACAGGAGGCGAAAAGGCTTTGTTATTTATTTCCCAACTAAAGAAAGTCACAAATTATATGAAAAGGCTCCTATATTCGGATAGCAGTCAGCTTTTGGAGCAATATCGATTTGTATATTCAACTATTGAGCGAATAACGGGTGCACATTTCATTATTATTGGATTATCAAGATAACCGTCTAAAATACATCAACTATCAGTGGATGCTGTAAAATAAAAAATATGGGCTATATACTGAAAATAATAGCAGCCTATGCCACCTGTTTGTGTGGCAAAACAAAGCAAGAGACCCATGTTTTTTAATGGTCTGCTCTGTCCATTGACAGCCTTGGATTGAGACACACCCCCTTTGTCAATCTCTTCCTCCCTTGCCAGAAGATTTGCCAGCGGTGACCTGCAGAGAATACACAATTATTGACAGGTTTACTGTCGGTTAATTAGGAATGATGTCACTATTTTCGTAACAATGCTGTAAGATAAGGAACACACACACGGCTGTGTGATTGTGCCCTGGCCCATGTCTGCACCTATGATGTGAGCTCAGTGCATTGCTTCCTGTCTTGCTGGGAAGAGAAGAACCCCCTATTGAGAGACGGAGGGTGATGGAGAAAAAAAGAGAGAGTAGGACTTCATATTGCTTACTAAAAGAGAGGGAGGAGAGGAATGTCCTTGCCAGAGAGAGAGAGAAGCAGCTGCAGCCCCATCGGGTGTTGGCTAGAGATACTACAATCTGACTGTCAGGGGAGAGCGGTGAAGCTGATCTCATGAGCCAAATCTATTCCAGAGCAGAGCCACACACACGACAATCCTTGTTTCACTCCATTGTTTAGCTGTCATTCGGTCATTTCATTGGTAGATGGATGAGAGGAGAAATGTGTGCTTCAAAACAAATCAAACCTACTAAATGATACATCTATTTTTTCCTTTTCTACTCTTCTCCATTCTGATTTTTAACTGGATTATATGACAAAACCACAACAAGGGGCGCATTCAGCAAGACGCAACGTTTTGGAACATTCAGATCAAAATATGCTATAAAAAACAAAAAGGTTCCTCTCTGACATCTACAATAAGGAAAAAACAAAAAGTTCCTCTCTGACACCTACAATAAGGAATCACCTTGGCTATTTTCATGGCATTTCTATCTGCAACATTTGACTACTGAACGTGGCTCTGGGTGACTACAGGGGAACCTACAGTCAGTACACATACCAGTAGATGTCACACTTGGACTGCTTTTCTGTCTTCATCAAGGACGCTGGCAGCATACACAACAGTGGACAGTAAGGGCTCTGTCTCAATCCATCCATGTCCTCTCCTTGACTACTCGGATCTGAAAGACCTGACCACAATTAACACAACTATAAGCAGTCTAGCAGATTAAATATGGCCGACATCAAAGGGTCATCATTTTGACCTGCAAACAACGGTTTCTGCTGCTCCTGGCTCATCAGGGGAGGTCCCCGTTTGAGAAGGTGTTTCGGTGCTGCTCACTACACCTTCTGAAGGGTGCGCCCATCGTGTTGATCTGGCCCGATCTGAGCCAGGTGGCTTGTCCACTACTCCTCCCTCTTAAGCCAGAGCCATTGAGATGCCTTCTCTGGCTCTTTTTCAGTTAATCATTCCTCAATTCCTTGGAGAAGCACTGGAGAAGAAGGCCTGAGTGGAGGGATGTTGGACTGTCCCCTCCAATACGGTTGAGAGTGAGGCCAGGCGATACCCTCAAATTTAAATCTGGACCTCTAAGCCAGTTCCACTGCTTTTTTTCTCCTCTAAATCGGGGACTGAGTTAGACCTGGGACACCAGGTAGTGCGATTAATTATCAGGTAGAACAGAAAACCAGCAGCACTCCGGACCTCCAGGGTAGGATTTGATTACTCCTGGCCTAGGATGTGAGGAGTCACGAATACGTATTGAGAATGAGCCTTGCCTCCTGCCCATCTATGTGGCAGACCTTCTTTCTCTGTGCTCCCTTTACTCCTCAGTGCAGAATCCTCAGTGCCCTCCTCCACAGTATTGCCCTCCACTGGTAGACACTTGGACAGTTGGTCTTCAATCCCTTGTCAATGTCTGGTACTTCAGCAGCTTTCCTTTCGTATGCTTCCACGATCGACTCCTACCATGGAACTGTTTGCTCTGTCCCATTAGTGGACCGGTGGAAGAAATATGGTGGAAGTTCCCTTGGCCAGATTCACCAGCTTTAAACCCCCCACAATTCAGTAGATAGGCAGATGAAGCATGGGTCACACCCAAGGTCATAACATTTACAGTGGGGAAAAAAAGTATTTAGTCAGCCACCAATTGTGCAAGTTCTCCCACTTAAAAAGATGAGAGAGGCCTGTAATTTTCATCATAGGTACACGTCAACTATGACAGACAAATTGAGATTTTTTTTCTCCAGAAAATCACATTGTAGGATTTTTTATGAATTTATTTGCAAATTATGGTGGAAAATAAGTATTTGGTCACCTACAAACAAGCAAGATTTCTGGCTCTCACAGACCTGTAACTTCTTCTTTAAGAGGCTTCTCGGTCCTCCACTCGTTACCTGTATTAATGGCACCTGTTTGAACTTGTTATCAGTATAAAATACACCTGTCCACAACCTCAAACAGTCACACTCCAAACTCCACTATGGCCAAGACCAAAGAGCTGTCAAAGGACACCAGAAACAAAATTGTAGACCTGCACCAGGCTGGGAAGACTGAATCTGCAATAGGTAAGCAGCTTGGTTTGAAGAAATCAACTGTGGGAGCAATTATTAGGAAATGGAAGACATACAAGACCACTGATAATCTCCCTCGATCTGGGGCTCCATGCAAGATCTCACCCTGTGGGGTCAAAATGATCACAAGAACGGTGAGCAAAAATCCCAGAACCACACGGGGGGACCTAGTGAATGACCTGCAGAGAGCTGGGACCAAAGTAACAAAGCCTACCATCAGTAACACACTACGCCGCCAGGGACTCAAATCCTGCAGTGCTAGACGTGTCCCCCTCCTTAAGCCAGTACATATCCAGGCCCGTCTGAAGTTTGCTAGAGTGCATTTGGATGATCCAGAAGAGGATTGGGAGAAGGTCATATGGTCAGATGAAACCAAAATAGAACTTTTTGGTAAAAACTCAACTCGTCGTGTTTGGAGGACAAAGAATGCTGAGTTGCATCCAAAGAACACCATACCTACTGTGAAGCATGGGGGTGGAAACATCATGCTTTGGGGCTGTTTTTCTGCAAAGGGACCAGGACGACTGATCCGTGTAAAGGAAAGAATGAATGGGGCCATGTATCGTGAGATTTTGAGTGAAAACCTCCTTCCATCAGCAAGGGCATTGAAGATGAAACGTGGCTGGGTCTTTCAGCATGACAATGATCCCAAACACACCGCCCGGGCAACGAAGGAGTGGCTTCGTAAGAAGCATTTCAAGGTCCTGGAGTGGCCTAGCCAGTCTCCAGATCTCAACCCCATAGAAAATCTTTGGAGGGAGTTGAAAGTCCGTGTTGCCCAGCGACAGCCCCAAAACATCACTGCTCTAGAGGAGATCTGCATGGAGGAATGGGTCAAAATACAAGCAACAGTGTGTGAAAACCTTGTGAAGACTTACAGAAAACGTTTGACCTGTGTCATTGCCAACAAAGGGTATATAACAAAGTATTGAGAAACTTTTGTTATTGACCAAATACTTATTTTCCACCATGATTTGCAAATAAATTAATTAAAAATCCTACAATGTGATTTTCTGGATTTTTCTTTCTCATTTTGTCTGTCATAGTTGACGTGTACCTATGATGAAAATTACAGGCCTCTCTCATCTTTTTAAGTGGGAGAACTTGCACAATTGGTGGCTGACTAAATACTTTTTTTCCCCACTGTACATTTTGATCATTTATCTGACGCGCTTATCCAGAGTGACTTAGTTAGTGAATTCAACTTTAAATGGGGAATTCCGCCACTTTTCAACCTCATATTCATTATCTCCAGCAACATACCTGTTTCTACATGTTTGAAAATCACTGTTTTTAAAATTATTTAACTTTTGATGTCATTGGGCAGAACTTTTTAACTGTATATATTTTTTTCTACCAAAAAAACAACTCAATTTTCAGATATGTAGACACTGGCATTGTGCTGAAGACAATGAACATGAGGTTGAAAAGTGGTGGAATTGCCCTTTGAGGTAGCTAGGTAAAACAACCACATCACAGTCATTGTAAGTAAAAGTTTCCTCAATAGCGAAGCTATCAGCATAATCATTGCTAGTAAGAACAGATAAGTGCAAGTGTTAGTACAAGAAAGGCAAGTACAACAGCATGACAATTGAGAAATACATCTTTGATTGGATACCTTTTTATTTTCATCAGTAGCTCAGCAGCTTTGACAGACAAATATGACATCTTAAGTCCTTTTCTTTTTGTTCTCAGGAGGCAGAGCTCCCAGGAGAGGAGAGCGGCCGAGCAGGTCAAGGGAGGAGCTATTGTAAAGAGGGGGCGGGTCTGTTCGGACCAGGAAGTGGATGAGAAACTGAGAGGGGGGTGTAGCCTTTAAATTACAATCAAGTGTTCAAATCCTAACTGCCATTTCAAGTCTTGTTGTCAGTGTTGAGCAGGTAAGTGAACCTGCATCGTATCAAGGTAGAGAGATCTGGGGAGAGGGGACAGCGCAGCTTGGAAAGACATTCAGCTGGACTGGACTGAACTAGGCCTAGGCTGGGCTAGGTCTACAATTTGGATAGTTAAAGTAGAAAAATAATGTATTCCCGAACTGTGCCCTTTTTGAAGGACTAGGTTGGGGTCATTTCGAGTGAGCCTGCCAGTGAAAACCAAAGAAAGAAAAACAGTTGCCATCATTGGTGTGAATATAACTACTTTTTTGTCCCTTTTCAGTTTTGTTTCAGGGCAATTGTGTTTTTACTTGATCTCCTTGCCATACGGGACAGAGAACCTGCAGACTGCACCTTTAAAGGGTGAGGCAAGCCATTGTAATGTCAGCAAATCTCATGATAACACTGGAAACGTCCCTGTGTAAGACGTGATGCTACAGACAGTACTGCCCGCTGACTGTATTCTGTGTGTTGAGCCAAAAGCATGTTCCAAAGGGGAAATATAGCTCATTTCTATTCTACTCTATTCTATTCTATTCTACTCTAACACTCCCCCAAGGGTTCCCCAGCAGACAGGCACGAAGCTGCAGCAGATATGGGCACGACTTCACGTTGGTGAAGTACACATATAGGATTATGCAAATATAGAATGAACGCACAGAAAAGCACATGAGCCAGTGTTTTCCCTCCTGCATTTGGAGGAGAGAGTAAGCTAACATAGCAGGCGTAAAATAAACGCCTGAAACTAGATCCTCTACATACAAATCTTGACAAAAAAAAAAAAAAAAAACCTGTCTGGAGGTTCTCTTCTGCACTGTTCAACCAATCCAGTACATGTGGAGGAGGAGTTAAGATGGAGCGTCACCTTGTTAACATCCAAAAGCGGAAGTCGCGTCACAGGCTCTCTTTCCATTTCCCCTGAAAACCGGATCATCCGATTGTTGGGGACTCGGCAGAGGTGAGAGCGCAGAGCTGTATTCATTAGTTGCAGACTATTGCAAAAAAAATACGGAAACCGTTTATTCTAGGAACCAAACAGCGCAAACTGAACCAAACTGAACCAAACGGAACCAATGGGGAGGGACCTACCTGTAGGGAGGGACCTACCTGAATTTGTCCAATATAAACTTTTTGGGTTTTTCGGTTTGGAGTAAACGTTTTTAGTTGCAAAACATTTTGTAACGGAATCCAAATAATGAATACACCCCAGGCTTTATAGAGACGGTAACTTGCTGTCCATATTAGTGTTCTTTCCACTCATTGGATGATCGAGAAAAGACATAATAGTGTTCTCAACCGGATTGGAGGATGCTTTCGTACAGGGGTCATATTTACAGTGAATATATTTCAAAAGTGCTGGACACGCAACTAGCTATTTACATGTAGAAAAATAGGGGAAAAAGGCCAGTGCAATGGGACATTATGGGCATTGAAGACGTCAACTAGATGGAATGGAAAGTAAGAAAAGTAAATGTGAAAATATTTAAATTGTATATTTTCATTTTCAATTCAATGAAATGCTTGTTTTAGTAACATGACAAATACATGTTGAACACACACACACACACATTGCGCAACCATTCAGAATTCTGTAGAAAACATTTGTGTGTACGCTTTGCCCATCATAAGTACATTACCATACACACACACTCCAAGTACAACTGGTTAAGTGCTAGATAAAAAAAATTTTCATAAGCACCAAATTACATGTTCTATGTTTCAGCGCAGTGCAAAATAAGTCTATTTTTAAGACATTCCTCCAAAGATATGACATTCAGTCTCACCCCACCCAACCAGGCAAGCCCCTCCCATAAAGATTCAATAAGGTCATAATACATGTAGAATACGCTCCTCCAAAATTTGATGCATGATAAAGTTCCCCCTTTTTGCATTGTTTATCCTATTTAAGGTAATGATTCGGGGAGGGCAACTTTTCCCCCAAGCCTAACATTCAGGACTCCCACCCATCTCCCTAGGCTCTCCATTCCACTTGAGGGCTGTTTCATTTAGATTTGGCCCCTCCCTCTCCCCCTCCCTCCATACGCTCCAATATTTAGGAGGCAGCTCTGGCTTGCAGAGTCGGATTACTGGAGAGAGACTGAACACTTTAACTTACTGCATAAAGAGAGACAAACTAAAAACAAGCACGACAATCATGTAAAACAAGCATGTGTACTGCAGTCTTAGTCCCAGCCCAGGGATGACACGGCAGCACTGTATCGAAGAGGGGGTCCACTTTCCAGTTCCTCTACTGGCGGTAGGATGGGGGTGGTAGGCGGGCTGAAGTGAAAAAGTAGCCCCCCTCTCGGGTTTTCAGGGACTGTGTGTGTGTGTGTGTGTTGTGTGTGTGTGTGAGGTCTAGTTCTTAGGCGACCAGCCCTTCATCAGAACAGGCTTGAATGACCCTGCTGACGCTTGAATAATACTTGTATGATGCTATATCAAGTAGCCCCAGTATCCAGCACCCCCTCTCTCCTCTCTGCTTCCCCCCTGTGGTGATATGCAGCACTGCAGGCTGGTGATCACTGGGCCTCTGTTGGCCTACCCTAGCTGCTGTTCACTTTGAGACTCTTTATGCGGTGCAACAGGGAGTCCTTCTCCATTTGGGCCTCAGCTAGAGCCATCTTGGCTTTGGACAGCTCCATTTTCAAACACTCGTTCTCCTCTATCAACAGCTAGGGGGAAACAGAAGAGCGTGTAAGTGAAATTCTTATGGAAGAGTGCAGGGCATAAAATCTACTTTTTGGTCCACCAGCCACTGTGGCAGGTAGATAAAGAAATCTACCAGCCACTCAGATTTTTTACCAGCCAAAATAGTGTTTTCCCCGCTAAAATTACACCAACAAAACACAAAAAAACAGATGGTTTGTAATGTTTCTAAAACAAATGTATTCCTAGTAAGAACTAATGTGGTTATTGTTTAATTTCATTTTATGTGACCCGAGTCTTTTAACCAAAATATCACAGATGAGACAAACAAATTCACCCCCCTTTGAGGGCGGGAGGTTACCGTGGTAGCGTAACTAGAGTCATGTTTGTGGCTGTGTCTGACTAGTAGAAGGGTTGTCTTCTCTTCCCTAGCAGTTCAATCTCAATCATAGAAAAACTACCTAGCTTGTGAACAAAACTATGTATATAGCCAAGAAACACAACGACAGTCTCACTTCAGTAGGCTTTCGTTTCAAGTAAATTTGACCAACTTTTATGCCTGTGCGCAGCGCTTCTAAAAATGAATATTTCACTCAGCTCTTCACGTGCTCAAAGCCCCCAGCCAGGCAGTGTTGCAGCGCGAGGTGGAATAGGCTATATAGGATTTGTAGTTCTTTGACTGTGCGATTAATTTACCAGCTATGACACAAAACGGGGGAAATGCTTTGAAAACAGATATTGCGGCATTTATTTTACTATACATGTGATTATACTTGACTATTTATATTCACAAATGCGAGTGAAATGCTCACACTGTGGAGCCCTGACCACCCGCCAACATGGCTGGTGAAATATACATTTTACCCGCCAATGCCGAAATCTGACCCTCATTTGGCAGGTGGCGGATGTTAATTTTAGGCCCTGGATGAGTGGGTGATGTGTGTGTGTGTGGACTACACACCAGTTCTTTGTTGGAGGGGGTTGTGCTAGAACTAGCAGGGCTGTGGGTCTGTGTGGCCTTGGGAGTGCTGTTGACCACACCCACACTCTCAGGGACTGGAGACAGACCGCTGTCAATCAATTGGACTTCTTTCTTAGGCGCATTTTCCACTGTGACAACAGAGAGAGTGGGTGAAAGAGGGAAAGGTAGAAATAAACTTCTAAGGCATGTCATTGTATGATGATGAAATGAAACGGTGTTAGGGAGGAGGGTGCAGGAGGGTGTGTGTTACTGTCTTTGTGTATAAGTGAATGTGTGAGGCAGCGGTGTGTGTTTATACGTGAGGCATGAATGTGTGTGTGTCAATGTGTAGATGCATACGGCAGTGTGTGTGTGTGTGTGAGGCAGTCTGTGTGTGTATGTGTGCATGAGGTGTGTGTGTGTGTGTGTGTGTATGTATGCATGAGGTAGTGTGTGTGTGTGATGTATGCATGAGGTAGTGTGTGTGTGTGTATGTATGCATGAGGTATGTGTGCGTGAATGTGAGGCAGTGTGTGTGTGTGTGAGTGAATGTTTGAGGCAGTGTGTGTGTGAGTGAATGTTTGAGGCAGTGTGTGTGTGTGTGTGGTGAATGTTTGAGGCAGTGTGTGTGTGTGTGTGTGGTGAATGTTTGAGGCAGTGGGTGGTGGGGTGTGGTGGTGTGTGTGTTGGTGTGGATAGGCAGTGTGTGTGTGTGTGTGAATGTGAGGCAGTGTGTGGGTGTGACAGGTGAGCAGTGTGTGTGTGTGTGTGTGTGTGTCTCACCCCCTATAGAGAAGGCTCCATCGTCGGTCCTGTGGATGAGCAGGTTGGAGATGTGCAGGGTGATGGGGGTGGGATCAGGGTCAGACGGGTTGTCACGGGGACCATCATCCTGCAGAGGGGGACAGAGGTTAATGTCTGTCTGTCTGTGTGTGTCTATGTGCGTCTGTCTGTCTATCCCCACCTTCAGGTCGATGTGTGTGTCCCTGACGCTGATCTCCATGGGGAGGACCTGGGGGGCGGAGTCATCCTCCAGGAAGTGAGCCAGGTTCCTTAGAGACGACATGAGGAAGCTGGCCCGGTAGCCATGGAGACGCAGCTGGAGGAAACCGTTGGTCTCGGCCAGGGGGGAGTGGGCGGCGGCGCAGGGCCCGCTCTCCAGCCGAGCCCTGACCTCCGGGTAATGGGTGGTCCCGTCTGAATTGACCTCCAGACCACCACCTAGCGAGGGAAAGAGAGGAAGGAGAGAGAAAATGTGGAGAAAGAGGAAGGAGAGAGGGGAGTGGGAGGAAGAGGAAGGAGAGAGGGGAGTGGGGAGAAAATGAGAATAACATCATTAATAATCACGCAGTAATCAATCAATTCCCATTCAAAAGAGAAGGCATAGATTGGCTGCAATACAAACAGAATCACTGCAACCACAACTCAAAGAAAAGGCTCAGCGATGGCCGCTTGGCAGGTATACAACCAGACATTGCCTTCCTGCTGACGCCCCGTCTATGAATTCCATTTCTAAGGTGTGACAAATTTGTAAAGCAAAGTCCCTTTTGGGGGGGTACTAATCCCATAAAGCAATTTCAAGGCCAGCAAAGTGCCACAGCAGCTGCACCCACGCAAGAACACACACGTTAAGATAACGATGTTAAAGCATCTGTCACTGCCTCAGTAAGGAAGGAAGGAAATGGCAGAGATGTGTGAGAGAAGGTAAGAGGTAAAAACAGAAATAGTGAGAAAGTGATAGAGAAGGAAAGACAGACAGAGGGGTAGGAAAGGAGAGAGAGGGGGGTAGGAAGGAGAGGGAGAGAGAGGGGGGTAGGAAGGAGGGAGAGAGAGGAGGTAGGAGGTAGGAAAGGAGAGGGAGAGAGAGAGAGGGGTAGGAGGAGAGAGGAGAGAGAGGGTGGATAACTGAGAGAGAGAGTAGAAGGAGAGAGAGAGGGAGAAGGAGTCTAGATGAGGGGTATGGAATTGGACTGAGAGAGAGGGCGTAGGGAGGAAGGAGAGGGAGAGAGAGAGAGAGGGGTAGGGAAGGAGAGAGAGGGGGATTACACTTCTGTGAAAGAAGGAGGAGGCGGAGCTAAGATAGTGTTTCTCTCATTGCCTGAACCACTGAATCTGCTGAGAGAGAGTGGCGAGAGGAGAGAGAGAGAGAGAGAGGACACGTCTCATAGTACTGGGGGTTAATATGGACCTCCCCAACCCCCTCTTAAATATTCACACATGTAAGGGTGACATGCTTGAGACACACATGCACACACAACCTGCGGTGCCACAAACACACACACGACACTGGGTTTAATGTAGCTGGTAATGGGAGCAAAACCCCCATTAGTGCTAATGCACCGTCTCACTGCAGCAGTTAGGACACACACAGCCCTTGAGACACACAGTGTGTGTGAGTAGGTTTCTGGTTTTACTATCCTTGTGGGAACCAGAAGTCCTCACCAGGATAGTAAAACAAGGAAAATCGTGGGGACATTTCGCTGGTCCCCACAAGGAAAACGTCTATTATAGGCTTAGGGGTTAAGTTAAGGGCTACAATTAGGGTTAGAATTGGGGTTAGGTTTAGGGAAAATAGGATTTTGAATGGGAATCAATTGTTTGGTCCCCACAAGGATAGTAAAACAGATGTGTGTATGTGTGTGTAGCATGCTTAGTGGAGCAAAAAGACTAATGACTATCTCTGTCATTTCATACCAATGATCAAATCAGAGACACTGTAAAACACACAAAACAGGTACTAACACTTGTGCGCAAGCTTGTGTATGCCCATCCATGCTTATGTTCCACACACACATACCTTTGCTGCCTGGGGCAGGGGGTACAATAGTACTGCCCTGAGCAGTGGGTACCATACCTGCAAGAGTTATGGAAGGGTAAACCAAGGGAATTGGGTGTGTGTGTGTGTGTGTGAGTGTGTGGAGTGTAGCCTTAACCCAGCTATAGAGAGTACTCCACGAGAATGGGGAATAGCTCAACTGCAGTGTGTGTGTGTGACTACAGGTGTTGTGGTGTTGTGTACTGCAGTGTGTGTGTGTGACTGCAGTGTGTGTCTCGAGGTGTGTCGGTACTAGCCCACATGTATGTGTGTGCGCGTATACATTTGTGTGTGTACGCATGGGCATGCACGTGCGCGTGTGTGTGTCTATGTGTGCCGTTGTCCTTACCCAGGCTGCGGTTGCTGAGGTATTGCCGGAGGCTGACGTTTCCCAGCTGTGTGGGTCTGACACGACCCACCTCCAGAGCGACAGCCGTGCTCTCCCCTCGCACCTCCGTCCCCACACACACACACTGCACCTTCAGCACCAGCACCGACACCTGGGGGGAGAGAGAGGGAGGGGGGAAGGAGGGAGAGAGGGAGGTATTAAGTTGGATAAGAGCGTCTGCTAAATGAATGTAAAAATGTAAGTTAACTCAATCAATTCAGAAAGTGTACTCATGCATGTGTGTATATGTATATATAGAGTGTGTGTGAGTGTGTATGCACGTGTGTGTACTGCAGGGTGTGTGTTCATGTGTCCATGCCTGCATACATTTCATGTGCGTGTGTGTTACCATGTCTTTGGTGGGTTCGTCGATGCTCTGGGAGGTGGCGCTGACAGTATCAGGTGAGCCAGCACCGTCCTGCTCCCCTGTGCCAATGGCCGATGCTGCTGCTGCCTCCTTGGCAATTTCTGTGACACTCTGCTCACTCACCGCATCCTTAAAGCCTGAGATGGACATGTCGTCTGTGGACACATAATTAATTAATTGATGGTCTGCTACCGATACATTGATAAATACCAGACACAAACCTAAAATCTTGATTCTGGTATAGATCACATCAGCTCACAACTGCCATCTCCTGGACAAACTATGTAATAGAAGAACTCTGCAAAAGCCATTCAAGATGCATAGAAACATGGTTTATTCTCGGGACTAAGGCTGGGGTTTACCCTCCATGTTTAGGCCAAATAGAAATGATTTTGTGTATTTCTGATTTCTATTCTCCTATAAAATAATGCATAAATTGAGGCACAGTGACAAGATCTGTGAGTCACGGATAGCCCTAGTCAGACCTGTGATGCCTGGAGGAGAATCACGCTCAACCCCATTGCAAAATGAATAGAATTGCAGGAAATTAGCTTCCGAAGCCGAGTCCGGAATATTAATATATGTATGTGAATGGTGTGTATAGACAGTATGTGAATAGAAAAGGTGTGTACAGCAGTAGTTATATAGGATGAGCCTTGACTAGAATACAGTATATACATATGAAGTGGGTAAAACAGTATGTCAACTATTATTACATTACTAAAGTGGGCAGCCGGCTAGTAACAGTGACTAAGGTTCAGGCCAGGGAACTGGGCGGAGGACGGCTAGTGGTGACTGTTTAACAGTCTGATGGCCTGGAGATAGAAGCTGTTTATCAGTATCTAGGTCCCAGCTTTGATGCACCTGTACTGTCTCTGTCTTCTAGATGGTTGCGGGGTGAACAGGCCGTGGCTCGGGCTGCTGAGGTCCTTCATCTTCTTGGCCTTCCTGAGACACCGCTGTAGATGCCCCCGATGATGCGATGCGCTGAGCGCACCACCCTCTGGAGAGCCCTGCGGTTGCGGGCGGTGAAATTGCAGTACCATGCGGTAATACAGCCCGACAGGATGCTCTCGATGGTGCATCTGTAGAAGTTTGTGAGGGTCTTACATGCTAACCAAGCCGGCTCCGCGTGTGCCATCGTGCGCATGTTGATTTTGTCTATCCCCACCAGACGCGTTCATGACACACAGGTTAAAATACCCAAATACCAAACCCAACTATATTAATTTGGGGTCAAAACACACATGAAACATTCATGGACATTTAGCTAGCTTGCTGGTAATTTGTCCTGGTAGATACACTTTTTTTGCTGGATCTTTGTAGAATTTTGACCCATTTAGTCTCACAATATCGTGTGTTGTCTACTTAATTCACAGATAAAAAGGGGAAACCTGGTTAGTTTTTAGTTCGTTTTCTTTGATTAATCTCTACTCGTTCATCTTTCTTCTGTGGATTTTATATGGCGGTTGGCAACCAACTTTAAGGTGCATTACCGCCACCAACTGGACTGGAGTGTGGACCTCAGTTCATCTTTCAATCACCCAGGTGGGTATATGCTCCTAAAAACCAATGAGTAGATGGAAGAGGCGGGACTTGCAGCGTGTCAAGCATCTAAAATAGAGCCAAGTTATATTTTAGCGCCTGGTACGCAGACGCCCGTTGACGCGCGCGAGCAGTTGATGAAATGCTTGAATAACGTGTACATTTATTTTGCAACGCTCGTAACGCGGCCGGTTTGGTCAGCATATTAGGGGCCAAGCCAAATTTCTTCAGCATCCTGAGGTTGAAGAGGCTATGTCGCACCTTCTTCACCACGCTGTCAGTGTGAAGGGACCATTTCAGATTCTCAGTGAGGAACTTGAAGCTTTTGACCCTCTCCACTGCGGCCCCGTCGATGTGGATGAGGGCGTTCACTCTCTTCTGTCTCCTGTATTCCAAGATCAGCTCCTTAGTTTTGTTGACGTTGAGGGAGAGGTTATTTCTTGGCACCACTCCGCCAGGGCTCTCACCTCCTCCTTGTAGGCGGTCTCATTGTTGTTGGTAATCAGGCCTACCATTGTTGTGTCGTCAGCAAACCTGATGAATGACTTGGAGACGTGCGTGGCCACGCAGTAATGGGTGAACAGGGAGTACAGGAGGGGGCTGAGCATGGACCCCTGAGGGGCCCCCGTGTTGAGGGTCAGAGTGGTAGAGGTGATGTTGCCTACCTTCACCACCTGAGGTCGGGCCGTCAGGAAGTCTAGGATCCAGTTTCACAGGGAGGGGTTCAGACCCAGGGCCCTGTGTGTGTGTGTGTGTGTGTGTGTGTGTGTTTCCTACCTCTCTCCAGCAGGCTGTATGCGTCCGTGTCTCCGTCCTCCATCAGGTAGCTGTCTATGGAGAGGTTGTCCAAGGACTGCAGAGACGGAGTCTTCTTCATGTTCTTATAGGACACTGAGAAACTGGACTGGGAACGCTCCCTAATCAGACGCCCACTGAAACACACACACACACCAGAAGGGTGAGGGGGGAAAAAAACAGGAGTACTATGGACCTCGAGGCTTGGTTTTGAATTGAATAGACCTGCGCCTGGTTTCCCAAAGCATCTTAAGGCTAAGTTGATCGTTAGAACCATTGAGCTGGTTCTAACAATGAACTTTAGCCTTCAGATGCTTTTGGGAAACCGGGCCCAGGTCTAGACCATTTACAAGGACCTAGCCTAGGCTATATGCTACTAGTCACCAGATAAAGGCTACACACAAACTATTCACCGGGTACACACACCAACTTGCAGCTTGGAAACAGATACAGACCCACATACACTCCCACAGATATACACACACCCACAGACAAGTCTACGTGCAGATACAACACACACACACACCACAACGTGAACAGATATTTAAAGGAATGCGCTCACACACAGACAGACCTATAGCGTGTCTTACATGTTGGAAATAGAATATAGGGAGGTGGACCGGGTGTTTGAGGAGCTGAGCCGGTCAGAAACCACTGACAAACTGCCTTTCCTTTGTAGAGAGAGAACACACACACACACACACACACCTCGCATGGGTCAGAGCAGAGGACACACTGAGCTACAGAGTAGAGTAGCAGAGTGACAAACACACATAAGACACAGACACACACCTTGTATGGGAGCACATTGGACAAGGCAGAAACACACACACACAAGACACAGACGCACACCTTGTATGGGAGCACATTGGACAAGGCAGAAACACACACACACACACACACACACACATAAGACACAGACGCACACCTTGTATGGGAGCACATTGGACAAGGCAGAAACACACACACACACACACACACACAGACGCACACTTTGTATGGGAGCACATTGGACAAGGCAGAAACACACACACACACACATCTACACACATAAGACACAGACGCACACCTTGTATGGGAGCACATTGGACAACACAGAAACCACACGAACACCTCTTATGGGTCACAACATTGATATTGTGACGTATAGGCCAGGTACAGTGCGGTCACCGTAGCTACACAGACATGATCCAGATGTAGTACTACACACTGATGTGATGGGAATGACCAAGTAACAGTAATGATGGTTTACTAAGCTGGGCATGAATAAGTGAGTAACTATAATGACATCTGCAGGAAGTATAGTTGTGTTTGAGTATTGCAGTAATGGGAGTGAGTGTTTATTTAAAGCTGATCATAAGTCCTCTGAATGATTGTTAAGGTCTGCCTGCCGATCGGCCTGCATTTCCCACAGTGAACGTTTTACAGAACTGACAGTCTGAATAGCTGGACAATATGTCATAGTAGTAACTGAATCAGTGTTTCCTTTGGAAAAATGTGTAGCAATTTTGGGAGTCCGGGGTCCCCCCCCCCCAGATCATTTTTATGTACAAGGACTGAGAAGCTCAGTTCTGGTGATTTTTTAAAAGGACATTCTATCAAAAAATGAATGAAAATACAATTATGTTGACACCAACCAAAATATTATTTCTACCTCCAGAAATGAGCCAAATAACATATTGGTAGAACATTTCTTTAAATGATTGTACCAGAGGACCATGCATAGTCCAAATTATCAGGTATGCTATTAGCAATAAGCATTATCACCTGTAGCCCAACTGATGCAGCATAGTGGCTATAAATAAATAGGCTGAAGCATTGGGTTGCCTATCTGCATTCACCCTATTGGGCTAATCATTAGTAGAGTCCTGCATCGGGTCGGATACACGTGTGAGCCGAATGGCGGGTGGAATGAAAACATACTTTCAACCCGTGGGTCGGCTCGTGGTTCAGAACAATTACATTGCGGGTCGGAAACATTTTAAATCAAGATAATACACTTTTTCAAAACTCAGGAGCTTGTTGTGTTGCGAATTCCATTCTGTGAACGCCGAGGCAGACATAAGGCTACCAGCCAAGCACGCATTGAGAGTGTGGAGCCGGGAACTGTCCCTTATTTGTGTGGTGCTAAAACTTTCTAATTTGTCCACGTGCAGAGCTTATGTTCCCTCTCCCCACCTGAGAATACGACACCTTGCAAAGTTTACTTTTCATGGGTAGCCTAGCTTACGCGAAAATGGCTAATGTAGGCCTAACCAGAGAAATACAAAGAAAGGTTATGATAAGGGAATAGGCTACAACATCACCGTGGAAACGTCCTGCGCGATTGAAATCCACATTTTGGATGGACAACAACACGGTAGATGAATACAAAACCTGCACAAAGTGCAAGCAGGTAGGCCTATATTCATTCGTTCAGTTAATTATCAGTTATTTATTAAATTAATTCAGGCGTTCCTTCATTAGACCATACGCAGGCCATATAAAGTGTAAACCGGTGCGGTTTGAGCAGCCTTCTAAATAAATGCATCCTATTTTTGCAGCCTATATTAGATTCTGGAAATTCACTCCCTTTGGCACGCGTAACTTGAACACGCCTCGAGAGGAATATTTATCTCGCATAGAACACACAACAAGATGACTAGGTAAATAGATCAACTATTCTACTGTGGGGTTGTCAGAGTTTTCTATTCCTTACTTGTTTTGTTTGCAGAGGAAAAGTAAATGTGGACTGTTCCAGCATCTTCAAAGTGTGCCTCTGTATAAATATTTTTTGATGTTCCATATTTTTTGCCGTGGCGCTGCGTCACAGCTAAATGACTGCAGTGCAAACACTGAACTGAATACCTGGTCATTGACAGTGGCTACAGGTCTAAATAGCTGGAAATGAACTGTTAGGTAATGACAGTCTAAATAATCAGACTGTATTACGGTAATGACAGTCTAAATAACCAGACTGTATTACGGTAATGACAGTCTAAATAACCAGACTGTATTACGGTAATGACAGTCTAAATAACCAGACTGTATTACGGTAATGACAGTCTAAATAACCAGACTGTATTACGGTAATGACAGTCTAAATAACCAGACTGTATTACGGTAATGACAGTCTAAATGAACCAGACTGTTTACGTAACCTAAATAACCAGACTGTATTACGGTAATGACAGTCTAAATAACCAGACTGCATTACGGTAATGACAGTCTAAATAACCAGACTGCATTACGGTAATGACAGTCTAAATAACCAGACTGTATTACGGTAATGACAGTCTAAATAACCAGACTGTATTACGGTAATGACGGAAGGGAATTACCTAGACATAGACTCAGGCATTCTGGCCCCAGGGTTCTTCTCGTTCCAGTCTTTGGTGGAGAGGGGGTCTGAGAGAGTGGGGTCTGCCCCGGAGGTCTCACCCTGCTGGGCTTTACAATCAACTCTGGTCCCCGGCTCCTCTCCCCCAGTCCGGGCCTCCAGGGAAACCACACCCAACTCCTCCGAACTGGATCTCCCAGTCCTCTCGTCAAGCGACGCCTTCCGGTTGGGGGCGGAGGAGGGGATGAGAGGGGCGGGGCCTTGCGTTATCCCACCCTCTACCACTCCCCCACAAATAAGCTGGTCCACCGTACAGCCTCCCTTCGCCCCAGCCCCCTCCACGTGGGTTCCTCTATCTCCCCCCTCCCCTCCATCGCTCCCAGTCTCCAGGGTGCATCTACTCTCCGAGGGGGACAACTCCGACCCTAGGGGGGAACCAGGACCCTCGGGCTGGGGGACCGGCTTCAAGAGGAGAGCTACCTCCGCACTTTTGAGCAGGATCCCCACACAGGCACTGAAGGGCTGGTGGTCTGGAGGGGGGTCCAATGGTCTTGGCCGTGTCTCTTGGCCCATCTCAGCCTTGAGGGTGCTCAAGGCTTGATGACGCCTGCAGCCGCATCAGACAGTACTGCTGTGGCCACCGGACCACACACACACACACACACACACACCAGTAGTAATCACAACATATCATAGCATTTATCGTACTCATAATACGTAATCCTGTTAGCGGGGTGTTCCGAATGACGCGAAGTGAAATCCGCGAATAGAACTTTTTTTTACAATTAGCAATTAATGTATACAAATCGTGCTCACGTGTAGGCGTTTCGTCGACATTATGGGTTAGAGAGTTCGAAATTACAAGATAATTTGGCCAACTTAGGTCAATTTGCAGGGTTTTGTGCGTACACTAAGCACGAGACGACAAATGATAGCACATTCGTAGCATGTTTGATACAAGAAGCGGAGTGAGTTTAGCGAATCAGATGCCGAGCACAATGCACACAAAAAAAACACAAAGCTTATGAAAATCCCGAAATACGAATCCGCGATAAGTGAACCGCGAAGTGGCGAGGGATCACTGTACACACATTCTCATAACTATACACATGGACTCTACAAGGTGTCGAAAGCGTTACACAGGGATGCTGGCCCAAGTTGACTCCAATGCTTCCCACAGTTGTGTCAAGTTGGCTGGATGTCCTTTGGGTGGTGGACCATTCTTGATACACACGGGAAACTGTTGAGCGTGAAAAACCCATCAGCCTTGCAGTTCTTGACACACAAACCGGTGCGCCTGGCACCTACTGCCATACCCCGTTCAAAGGCACTTCAATATTTTGACTTGCCCATTCACCCACTGAATGGCACACATACACAATCCGTGTCTCAATTGTCTCAAAATCCTTCTTTAACTGATTGAAGTGGATTTAACAAGTGACATCAATAAGGGATCATAGCTTTCACCTGGTCAGTCTATGTCATGGAAAGAGCAGGTGTTCCTAATGTTTTGTACACTCAGTGTGGTCACACACACACACACACACACACAGACAGACTACAGTGTACACATACACCAAAAGAGATTAATCATCACTCACCTGAGCGCTCAAATGCTTCTGTACGTGCACTAACATGTGCATGTCTGCCTCCTTACTGGAAGAGGAGGAAGGGGGGGGGATGTTGTCCAGGGACAGCGGCTTCTGAAGCCCGTTGCTAGGCGGCAGCGTGGCCTCGGTTGCCGTGGCGTCCGTAACAGTACTATAGTACTCCTTCAAAAGCCTCTTCCTCTGCAGACGTCCCACGGTATCCACAGACTCGATCCTGGCCAGGCCTGCAGCTGCAGAAAGGGGCGTTCTCTGCCCTCTCAAAGCCCCGCCCCTTAGCCGCTCCTGGTGCTGGGCATGTCTGGCCGGCTGGCACGCCCACAGGGTGAGGGGGAAGGCGTCGACGAAGGGCTGGGGCCGCCCCTTCCCGCCTCGCGTCCCCTCGTAGTCCACCCAGAACTGGGCAAAGTGAACCGCCCACAAGTCTGTGGCGGCTGGCATTTTGAGGGCATCCACGCCCAACGAGGGCGACACCAACCCTTTATACACATTGTGCAACATAGTGTCCTGCTCATGCGCGTGGCGCTGGAAAATGGGGTGGACCACCGGGAAGGAGGTGGAGGAGCGAGGGAAGGAGGAAAAGGAGGTGGAGAAGAACTGTTGTTCCTGGAAGGAGAGGAGGAGGGCTTCCAGGTGGGAGCGGGTGCAGTTGGGGGGGTGGCGGGTGTTGGTGGCCACCATCTCCGAGCATTGGACGGAGACGGAGCGGGGGAGGTCCTGGGGGTAGGAGGGGTCCCTGTCCGTGGGCACTACCAACTGTGGTGGGGGAGGGGGGGAGAGAGGAAGAGAGAGAGACAAACATTATTAGGAAATATATATATAGAGGTCATCGATGTGTACAAGATGACTAATGAGCGTAATTTGCAATCTGTCTAAATATAAAGACTACACTCCTAAAATAAAGAGAAATGGTGTGTGTGTGTTGACCTTTTCAAGGGCTTTTTACACAGCTACGGTAGCGTTTGCATGTGCATTTCTCAAATGACTGAATCAAAGTGTCCAAATACTCAATATGAGCGTGTGTGACTTGAATACCAACATAACATCATGACAGAGTGTGTGTGTGTGTTCTTTCTGCCCTCTACCTTGAGCATGAGTCCGTCCACCCTGATGTCGATGTGCTCGTCAGGTTTCTGCTCCTCCTCATTGAGCTTGTAGAGCTCCATGAACTGTTCCAGGCTCTGCCTCAGGTCCAGGGCAAACAGGTTGCACCACACCAGGCTCCTGGGGTCCAGCACCAGCTGCAGCGCATTCAGCTGCACATACAGGTTGGGGCAAGGGACTGGAGGAGGACAGGGAAAGAGAAGATTATATGATAATCAATACAAGGGACTGGAGGAGGACAGGGAAAGAGAAGATGATATGATAATCAATGCAAGGGACTGGAGGAGGACAGGGAAAGAGGAGATTATATGATAATCAATGCAAGGGACTGGAGGAGGACAGGGAAAGAGGAGATTATATGATAATCAATGCAAGGGGAAGATAATAGAGGTTGGAAACTAGAAATGAGTGGAGTGGGAAGAGAAAAGAGGTGACCCACTAATGCATTCACCTTTCCCTCTGACAGGTATTTGAACAGCACTAACACACCTGATTCACATAAAACACCAAGTCAAGACTTTGATTAGTTCAAATCAGGTGAGTTAGCGCTAGGCTGGAATAAAACACTGCACACCCTGTTGGTCCCCAGTATGAGGAGGGAAGAACACTAGTCTAGGAACAGAATGAGAGTAGGAACCAATCTTACTGGGGTAGTCCTTTCCGTCAGGGAAGTAGTATTCGGTGAACTCGACGTGGATGGCAGGCATCTCAGGAGGAAGGTACAGGGACTTCTTATTACAGGAGATCATGGCCTTAGGGCTGGAGCGACGCTGGTCTGCTGTGGACACCTGATACACACACAAACACACGGCATGAGGTCAGTAAAGTGTGTGTATCAGATAACCATGTCAACTGTGTGTGTGTGCTGACCTGGTAGATGCTGAAGTCAGCCATCCTGAGGACAATGGAGCTGGACAGGAGCTGGGTCCTGGGGGTCTGCGGAGCACTGAGGATACTGGTAGAACTAGTACTGATCTTACCTAGAAAGGAGAGGTGAAGAGAGAGGGAATGGAGAGAGATAAGAGAGAAAGGATGGTAGGGAAAGGAAGGAGAGATAGGGGAGAGAGAGAGAGAGTGTAACGGAGAGAGCGAGAGAGAGAGAGAGCGAGAGCGAGAGCGAGAGAGGAACAGGGAAAAGAAAAAGAGACAGCCAATCAGACCTCCTGCCACACTCTGACATCATCTCACCAAAGGTGTGTATCACCGCACACCGCGTGCGCACACCATCGGTTAGGGGGTACCTGGCTCTAGGCATGAGAAGCAGCACTGTGCCCGCCCCCGTGCCCTCGCCCTCACTCGTACCATGGCTCGTGCCCGCACCCACCCCGGGGGCAGGTCGTCCGGCCCCCTAACCAACACTATTCTTCCTCCTCCTGTCTCGTCCTGCCCTAAGGGACCATATACACTGTCCCTAACACTGGAGACACTGGAGGGGTACCTGGACACTGGAGGGGGGACACAGAGAACTCAGAGTGACTAGGCAGTGTGATGCTAGGGAAACCAACACTTCTCTTCATTCCAACTCTACAGGCTGTTCTAAAAATGACCCAATAGATGACATCATCAAGTGTAATCTAGTTCAGTTGAATGTCAACTGTCTAACCAACATCATCACTCTTCATGGGCTGCTGGGACATATCTTTATAGTTGTTGAATAAAAAGTGAATTAGGGCAGATGCTTCAACACATACCTTTATTGGATTACTATGTTTCAATCACATTGAGGGGAGGTGTGTGTGTGTGTGTGTGTGTGTGTGCTGCTCTTTTGTTTACCGTGCTGTGGTGAGGTGTGTGTGTTGGCCGGGCCCTCCCGGTCTCTCTTGGCGGTCTTCAACATCTCCACGTTAGACTTGAACTCCTCCAGTAGACTCCTGGCCCAGCCCTCCCTGGCCTTAGTGGCCTCACTGTACTGCATCCAGTGGAGACAACTCTCACCTAGAGACAGAGAGAGATGAAGTGAGAAGGGGAGAGAGTGGGTGGGTGGGATGGGGAAGAGAGAGAGCGAGAGAGAGGGAGAGAGAGAGAGAGTGGGGGGGGAAGGGGAAGCGGAGAGAGAGAGGGGGGGGGAGAGGGAGAGAGAGAGAGAGAGAGGGGAAGAGAGATGCAGAGCGCGAGATAGAGGGGGGAGGTGATGAGAGAAGAGAGAGGGGGGCGAGGCCAGAGTATGTTTTCAGAGGGCCTAGCTCTATGGAGATAGAAAAAGGGCCTTCCCTCCCGCTCTCTCTATCCCTCATTTGAGGGATCATATTCATAGGGAACGGTATGGTGTGGTCACAGGACGAGCCATAACAGCACGAGATGAGGTGGAATACACATTTTGTGGTGTTGAGAAATCAGAAAGATCTGTTTTACTCCCATCAGCTGTGTGGCAGTTGGAGGGAGGTTGTGGTGGTGTTCACTTGCTCTGTGGGAGGGATAATAATGTTGGAGGAAGGTTGTGTAGAGGTTGTGGTGGTGTTCACCTGCTCTGTGGGAGGGATAATAATGTTGGAGGAAGGTTGTGTAGAGGTTGTGGTGGTGTTCACCTGCTCTGTGGGAGGGATAATAATGTTGGAGGAAGGTTGTGTAGAGGTGTGTGGTGTTCCTCTTGGAGCATACTATGTGGGAGGATATATTTGGAGAGGTTGTGTGGGTTAGTGTGTGTGTCACTGTCTTGGGAGTAATGTGTGGAGGAAGGTTGTTGGTAGATTGTGGTGTGTGTTCACCTGCTTTGGGAGGGGTGTAGCAGGGTATGTGACTAAGGAAGTGCTGCATGGCTCCACCAGTTATCCTCTTATTGATCACTGGAGAAAGAGAGGGAGGGAGAAGTAGAAGATATAACATCATGCACAAAGGTCCAATGTGCATCACAGCCCAACTTGATGTGTAGGTATCAGTTAGTCAGTCAAACATCCGTCTGTCTGACGTGTGTGTGTGTGTGAGGTGTGTCTTATGTGTGTGTTTTACATTTGCATGTGTGTATTAGCACGTGTATGTGTCATACGTCTGCGTAGGTGTGTGTACCTCTGTCCTTGACGTGTATGTCGTCACAGATGTGCAGGTCGAGATGTGTGATCTGCAGGTGGTGGGAGGTCTCACACACGTCGAAGGCAGCGAACAGACTGGCCATGGTTGCACTCTGTTCAGCTGCTGTGCCTGATGACACCTGCTGGCTACGCACCTGCTGGGCTGAGGGGGGCGCCGACGACTCCTGGATACAGACCAGAGACCGTAAAATATACAGACACACAGATGTGGACAGACACTCACACAGAGAAAATTAAGTGAACATCGATTTTATTAGTGCATCAAACTAGTGTTGCTTTTGAGCGAAGGAGTGTGCAGCGCTCATTCTCACCAGCAGATGGCATAGCCTGCCACTGGTAGGTAATTATGCTTACAGCCCAGTTTGAGCCAGTACATGGATAATGGGGGGGAGGGAGAGAGGGAGAGAGCGAGAGAGCGAGAGCGAAAGTAGCAAGAGCGAAAGAGAGATAGCAAAATAGGGAGAGGAAGTGAAAGAGAGGGAGCGAAGATAGATAGATAGAGCGAAAGAGGGGCCATATGGCAGAGGGATCATACAGAGAGAACCAAACATCCACAAGGACTAATTACCATACCATCAGAGAGGGGAGAGCGAGAGAGAGGAGGGGGGGGAGGGAAAAGAGAGAGAGGGGGGGAAAAGAGGAGAGAGGGGGGGAAAAGAGAGAGAGAGGGGGGGAAAGAGAGAGAGAGGGGGGAAAAGAGAGAGAGAGAGAGAGAGAGAGAGAGGGGAAGAGAGAGAGAGAGAGGGGAAAGAGGAGAGGGGAAAAGAGAGAGAGAGGGGAAAGACCAATGTAGGTCTGTCTGACAGAGAGAGGGGTGACTGAGCACATAGCTAGCTGCTTCAGTTGTTAAGCAAGTGTGTGTACGCGTCTTTCTACCTGTGTGTGTTTCCTAGCCTGTGTGCACTTGCGCACCCGTGTATGTACCTGCCTATGTGAGCGTGTGTGTGTGTGTGTACCTGGTCCTCGGTGACCATGCTCTTCCTCTGCTGGGCAGACTTGTCCATGGCCTCGCTGAGTGACTTAGCGTACTGGACCATGGCTTTGAGCTGGGAGTCAGTCAGTACCCACAGCAGGTCATCTAGGATCAGGATCAGCTTAGAGGCCACCACGTTACAGTCCTTGGACTGGTGATACACACATTCTACATAGATTATTACATACAATAGACACACACATTAATACACACTATATAGACGTTACACACACATTAATACATGCTTTATACATAGAGGATACAGACACACACATTACTTCAAGTGTTGAACCAAGTAGTGTTATTCAAAAAGGTGCATTCATCAATGGGAGATCTTCTAAAAGTCAACAGACTGGAGAAAACACACGTTCCATATCCATGAGTAACTGTCTGACTGACTGAATAAACTATATACTCAGCACACATTCATCTGTGGTAGCTCGAAATCATATCTTTGTCTGTTCAAAACACACACAGCGGCTGCAGGGCTTGCTGGTGTGTGAGATACAGATCTTTGTTTACTGAAGCTGATTCTGCAGGCTGTTGGCCCATGCTGTTCTCTATTCTATTAGACCAAGCACTGTTCTCAGAGTGTGTGTGTGTGTGTGTGTGTGTGTGTGTGTGTGTGACTGTGCCGTGTGTGTGTGTCGTACCGGTCTCGAGGGCGACTGACCTTGGACTGGTTGGTGAGGAGGCGGATGTGTAGTGTGTCCAACCAGTCTCTTCAGAGTGGCACTGATTTTGGGACGGTGTGTATCAGTGTGCTGTGTGTGCGCTTCCGTGAGTGTGCGTGTCTGCGTGTGTGTGCGTGTCCTACCGGCCTCTTCAGGGTGACATCTAATCTTGGACTGGTTGGTGATGAGGAGGGTGTGTGTGTGCATCTGTTTGCACCTAATTGTCTGCATGGCATGTGTGTGTATTGTACCCGTCTCTTCAGGGTGACTCTGATCCTGGACTGGTTGGTGATGAGGCGGATGGGAGCACTCAGCATCTCGTTTTGGGCACTCTGGATGGCATCCGCCTCTATGCGGATCATCTGCCAGCTGATCTCCTTAAACGTCAGGATCTGAGGAGGGGCGCACAGGTAGCCATGGTTACACACACATACATTGGGTTACCATGGTTACACACACTCACATGCCATGTTGTGTGTATGCAGTGCACCCACCTCTCCTCTGTGAGGGTCCTGTATGCGTGTGAAGCGGAGGTCTGATAGGCTCCAGCTGGTGTTGACAGAGTAGACCTGCAGCTGGCTCAACTCAAAGGAGGCGTTGAACGCCTTGGCACTGATCTTCACCACGATGGAGTTGATGGACAGAGAGATGCCCTCCACCACCTTCTCAGCAAAGCCATACTCACTGGGGGAGAGGGGGGGAGAGGGGGAGGTAGGCAATTGAAGGTTGGATTTGGATCAACTGAATGCAGGTGTTTGTTAGTAAAGTATTTTTCAGCCCCATCGCACGAGGACAGGCAGACAGACACCACACACACACTTACTCATGCACACACACACACACACACACACACGACTGGGGGGGGAAAGAGAGAGAAAAGCAGAGCGCCAGCTCCCACCTTTGCCCTGAGGCCGTTGCTATGGGAGACGGGCCGTTGGGAGGGCGGGGCTCGTCACAGGTGCTCATCTCCATTACCACCTTGTCCAGGGTCTGGGAGACAGATGCAGATGATTACCACACACACACTCCTCTGTTTGCCCGGGGCAAGTAAAAAAAAATAGTCAGACATGAAGAACAGATTTAAGTTGGAATGGACAAGTAAAGAAAAGATAGTGCAAAAAAAAAAATCACAATATCAAACAATTAGGATACATCCTCCAGATGCAATGTGTTGCACACTGGCCTCCCAATCTCTGCAGAGCGCATCAGAGTATAATTATTGTAGGCCTTTATTGACAGGCACGTGCCGTCTTTGCGTTTTTGAGATCAAAGCAAACCTACCCGCATGTGCACATTTGTTGATATTCATTGCTAGTTAGTGAGTTATTTGCCCAGTTATAGCTCATTTTTGGTCAGCAATGAAAATCCAGGAAAAGTCATGTGTGTGAGCATCACCTGCGTGTGCCAGTGGGCCGTTGCCAGAGGATAGAAAGAGAGAGATTTGTGCAGCAGGTAAAATAATGATATATAACAGACTAACTAGATAGCCATTTTAAAAAACATTGTGTAGTTTTGTCTTGTTCTCAATAGTTAACTATACTGAACAAAAATATAAATGCAACATGCAACAATTTCAACGATTTTACTGAGTTACAGTTCATATAAGGAAATGAGCCAATTGAAATTAATTAATTAGGCCCTAATCTATGGATTTCACATGACTGGGCAGGGCTACAGCCATGGGTGGGGCTGGGAGGGCATAGGCCCACCCACTGGGGAGCCAGGCCCAGCCAATCAGAATGAGTTTTATTACAGACAGAAATACTCCGGTTGTGAGGCCGGTTGGACATACTGCGGAATTCTCTAAAACGACGTTGGAGGCAGCTTATGGTAGAGATATGAACATTGAATTCTCTGGCAACAGCTCTGATGGACATTCCTGCAGTCAACATGCCAATTGCACACTCCCTCAAAACTTGAGACATCTGTGGCATTGTGTTGTGTGACAAAACTGCACATTTTAAAGTGGCCTTTTATTGTCCCTAGCACAAGGTGCACCTGTGTAATGATCATGCTGTTTAATCAGCTTCTTGATATGCAAAGGAGAAATGCTCACTAACAGGGAATTTTTGTTTTTGCTCATGAAACCAACACTTTACATGTTGCGTTTATATTTTAGTTCAGTGTAGATGGCCAATTCAAAACATTATGTAGTATATGTCTGTCTATCTCACTAGTTAACTATTAGCATGTATTAATGTCATTATCATGTCCGATGTCCTAAAATAACTTTCCACCGGCACTTGTGTATAACCGTGTAGCTCAGTTGGTAGAGCTTGGCACTTGCAACGCCAGAGTTGTGGGTTCGATTCCCACAGGGAGTCAGTATGAAAATGTATGCACTCTAACTGTAAATCGCTCTGAATAAGAGCGTCTGCTAAATGACAAAACATTTTAATGTAACCGGAAATGGCCGACACACAGTTGATACAGGTGCACAGTTGATGAAACCAATGCTGCATACTCGGGTTGTAAGACCGTCTCAAGCGCACAAAATTGGCTAGGAATCTCCTCTATTCAATACTGGCCATGTAATTTAAGTTTTAAAAATATATTCTTAGAATAGCCTAATAGACAAGTAACTCCTATGCAGTCTAAATCTCCCCTCAATACTGAATATTTTAACCTTACAAATAGATAAACATCTTAATTAACTACCTTGCCGCCCATCTTAGCCATTGGATCCCTGGTTCATTGAATGAGGGAATTATTTTATAAAGACATTAAAAGTATTTGGTTGTAATTATAATGTTGCAGGGTGGCCAACCCTCCTCCAGGAAATTCCAGGAGAGCTACTGGGGGGTGCAGGCTTTTGGTCCAGCCCTGCTCGAACACACCACATTGTAAAAAAGAATCAGCTGCTCAACAGGACCTTGATAAGCTGACTCTGGTGTTAGAGCAGGGTTGGATCAAAAGCCTGCACATCCAGTAGCTCTCCAGATGGAGGGTTGACGGACCACATGCGTTTTATACAGTAGGCTATCAGTGCAGTATTTTACTTTGTGGGGGGTTAAGTGCCTTGCTCAAGGCCACATCGGCAGGAGATAGTGTATAGTACATGGGATCAGAGAGAAGCAGCCTTCCATTGTCAATACCTATGATAATAATGAAGGTTATTTTGTGAAGTGGTTCCTTGCATCATACACAACAATTTTCAGTCACCTTTTTGGCCCATGTCTGACTTGAGCTTTCGGACAAATAAAAAAAAATCTGTCCTGCTTGTCCAAAGGACAAGTCGCTAAAACAGTTAATGTCAATGTTAATGCACACATGCCACACACAAGTTCACACACACAAAGTGTAACATGTCAACAATAGGGGGAAGGAGGGCAGGACTTACCAGGGAGATGGGGTGGGTCTTCAGCTTGGTCCATGGGATCTGTCAATCAAGAAAAAAACTGGAATCAGAATCAGCCAGTCCAGCTCAGATAAATCACAGTAATATTGGTTCAATATCATGCCACACACACACTATTCTGCCCAAAACCATCAGCACAGCCAAAATATGAGAATATTTTCTTGTACTTTATTTAACCTATATGCTAAATACCGTTACATATAATTTTTCTGAAATAGCCTAGCTACAATGTGTCTAGTCCTGAAATGAATTGAATCACTGAATGTAAATCAGGTGAAATGAATGGAATTGAATTAACGGGCCGCTCCAAGAGAGCCAGGCAGAGTGAATGAATCAAGGAGACAAAGTCTAGACAAGCAGTCAGCGTGCCAGCACATTCCACTCCTCCCCAAACTACACTAAACCCTCTTAAATCATGCCGGTGTCGATTCAATTAGCATTTACTCCAAAGAGATCAGCTGCATTTTCATCTTCCCCCACAATGAATGACTCCTCGTTAAAAGACTATAAACATTTGGATATGTGGCGCTAATTGAATTACCCCACTAAAACTTTATTTGACTTCAGTCATTGAACTGAAATGATTTAGCAGAGAGGGTAAGCCTGTGCCTGTATGTGAGGAGGTTAGAGCAGAGATTTAGACAAGGAAAGGAACAGTTTTTGGGTGCCTGAGATGTGGGTTTGTGTGTGTCCGCTCCAGTGTGTATTGTAACAACAGAAGATGGTATGTGCGACTGTATGTGTGTGTGTGTGTGTCGGTGTGTGTTGGCATTGGAAGCAATCTAAATCAGACCTAGAGAGTGATCTCTTCTATAGCCTAAGTGTTAGAGGAGTTAAACTGCAGCTGGGGGACTCACACACCCTCTATTTCTCTCTCTAGCTTACTGGGAGCTATTAGCTATAGCTGCAGGTTCCGCTTGACCAAGCCCACTACTGTTCCACTTGGCTAGATGACCAAGCCCACTACTGTTCCTCTTGGCTAGATGACCAAGCCCACTACTGTTCCTCTTGGCTAGTGACCAAGCCCACTACTGTTCCTTCTTGGCTAGATGACCCAGCCCACTACTGTTCCTCTTGGCTAGATGACCAAGCCCACTACTGTTCCTCTTGGCTAGATGACCAAGCCCACTACTGTTCCTCTTGGCTAGATGACCAAGCCCACTACTGTTCCTCTTGGCTAGATGACCAAGCCCACTACTGTTCCTCTTGGCTAGATGACCAAGCCCACTACTGTTCCTCTGGACTAGATGACCAAGGCCCACTAATGTTCCTTCCTCTTGGCTAGTATGGGACCAAGCCCACTACTGTTTCCTCTTTGGCTAGATGACCAGCCCACTACTGTTCCTCTTGGCTAGATGACCAGCCCCACTGTTTCCTCTTGGCTAGATGGACCCAAAGCCACGGTTTCACTGTTCTTATTGGCTAGATGATCAAGCCCACTGGTTCACTGTTCCTATTGGCTAGATGACCAAGCCCACTGTTTCACTGTTACTATTGGCTAGATGACCAGAGCTCTGTGACGCACTGGCTAAACTCCAAGGACTGTAACGTGGTGGCCTCTAAGCTGATCCTGATCCTAGATGACCTGCTGTGGGTACTGACTGACTCCCAGCTCAAAGCCATGGTCCAGTACGCTAAGTCACTCAACGAGGCCATGGACAAGTCTGCCCAGCAGAGGAAGAGCATGGTCACTGAGGACCAGGTACACACACACACACACACCTCAATGATTGGGCTATTACGACTGCAGCATTGCACCAAGGACATTGCACAGCAAGTGTGACACAGCAATAAAGCTAAGTTAGTGACACTCAATGGGCCTCGTCTAGGAAAACAGCCAGCCAGCGAGACAGACAGATAGAACTGAAGACAATTTCAGAAGGCAAAACGTTATCCTTTCACAGTTTCAACGCTGGGTGGCTCCCCACTCTACCTGTTAGAATTTATTGCATGAGACAGCAGCGATGACAAGATGAAGTCATGAGACAGCAGAGATGACAAGATGAAGTCATGAGACAGCAGAAATGATAAGATGAAGTCATGAGACAGCAGAGATGATAAGATGAAGTCATGAGACAGCAGAGATGATAAGATGAAGTCATGAGACAGCAGAGATGATAAGATGAAGTCATGAGACAGCAGAGAGGATAAGATGAAGTCATGAGACAGCAGAGAGGATAAGATGAAGTCATGAGACAGCAGAGATGATAAGGGAGTCATGAGGACAGTCAGAGATGATAAGATGAAGTCATGAGACAGCAGAGATGATAAGATGAAGTCATGAGACAGCAGAGATGATAAGATGAAGTCATGAGACAGCAGAGATAAGATGAAGTCATGAGACAGCAGAGATGACAAGATTAATTTGTAAATAGAGAAGGGGGGGGGGGGGTGGAAAGAGAATGGAGTAGACAGAGATAAATGCATGATAGAGAAAGAGAGTCAACCATTAGGGCAAAGAAAAGCTGGGGGTTTCAGGAAGGAGAAGGCTGGTAGTAGAGACCTGAGTAACAGAGTTAGTGAAGGAGTATAATAAGAACTATCTCCAGGGAGTATCAGAGGATGTGTGCATACAGACACACACACAGTTCATCTCAGTGCACTTCTATATCCACCGCTATCATTACGATGGAGACAAGGGAGAATGAAAGAGTGGGAGTCAGTGAGAGTGTGCGTGTGAGAGAGAGAGAGAGGGGGGCAGGGGGAGAGAGAGATAAGAGGTAGCAGACAGTAAAGTGGAAATATGGACTAATTTGGCGGGGTTCATCTGAGGAGAGGGACAAAGGGAGAACGCTCCGCCCAGAGTGCAGGTGTGTGTGCGTCTCCCTCTCTCTTACCCGGATGGCGGCCTTGTTGCAGCCCACTTTGTTGATGGCCAGCCAGGTGGGCAGGTCCAACATGCTCTGCAGTACCTCCTCATCCAGCTCCAGGTTGGTGAGCTGGCCCTCGCCCTTCAACGTGCTCAGGTTGATCTTGTCTGGGGACAGGTTCTTAGCAAACCTGCAGGGGGAGGAGTAAGGAGAGGAGAACATTAGTATTTTTGTTATGCATTCAACATCAAGGAAAGAAGCCCTTATCGTACATCATCATAATCACAAATACAAGACACCCTTGCTTTTGGGAGGGAGAGACCAAGCGAAAGAGGAGAGAGAATTGCATTTATTGGCACAATTCATTACAGAGTACAATCCCCCTCTCTCTCTTTCCACCAGGGAGAAGTAGAGAGAAAAATAAAGGCAGAGAGGCCGGACAAGAAAGATAACGGCCGACAAGAAAGATAGAAGAGAGAGGGATAGTCTAGAAGAGACACAGGAGCCGACCAATCAGCCAAGTGCTAAGAAAACTTTGGGATAATTTATTTTTGTTGATCAAATACAAAGTTATTTTACAGAAAACAAATTAACAAAAGACTTAGCATGCTTATAGGGAAGGGCATTCAACATGCTTGGCACTGACACAAATGACTGATGATTGGCTGAAATAAATTGATAGTAAGAAGATTGTGGGAGCTGTTTTGTTAGACTTCAGTGCAGCTTTTGATGTCATTGATCATAACCTATTGCTGAAAAAATAGGCGTTATGGATTTGCATCCTCTGCCTTATTATGGATTGAGAGTTACCCATCTAATAGAACACAGAGGGTTTTCGTTAATGGAAGCCTCTCTCATGCAAATTAAGTTGTGTGGTGTACCGCAGGGCAGCCTGCTAGGGCCATTATTGTTTTCTGTTTTTACAAATGACCTTACACTGACCTTACACTAAAGCCTGTGTGTCTATGTATGCTGATGACTCAACAGTATACACTTCTGCTGCAACAGTAAAATAAATAATTGAAACACTTAACAGAGCTCCAGTTAGTTTTAGAATGGGCAACTAGCAATAGGATGGTGCTAAATATAAAAAAAGCTAAAAGCAGAATTATTGGGACAAATTACTCTCAACGCTAAACCTCGTTTAGATCTATTATTGAATAATGTGGCTATTGAGCAAGTTGAAGAGACTAAACTGCTGGGTGCTCTGCCTTCTTGACATACCCTCACGACGCCAGGACAGCGGAGTCACTCACCACCTTCCGGAGACATTTGAAACCCCACCTCTTTAAGGAATACCTGGGATAGGATAAAGTAATCCTTCTACCCCCCCCTTACCCCAACCCCACCCCCCCCAAAAAAAATTTTTAAAATAATAATAATAATAATTGTAAAGTGGTTATCCCACTGGCTATAAGGTGAATGCACCTATTTGTAAGTCGCTCTGGATAAGAGCGTCTGCTAAATGACGTAAATGTAATATCAGTCGACCAGACAGGTCCTACAGGCCCTAGTTTTGTCGCACTTGGACTACTGCCCAGCTGTGTGGTCATGTGCGGCAAAGAAGGACATAGGTAAATTGGAGTTGGTACAGAACAAAGCAGCACATATCGCACTTAGATATACACAGAGGGAAAGTGTCAGTAACATGCATGTCAATCTCTTAAATTGAGGAGAGATTGACTGCATCACTATTGGTCTATGTGCGATGCATTGATGTGTTGAAGGTACCGAACTGTCTGTTAAAGCAGTTGGCACACAGTTTGGACACTCATCTGTACAACACAACACATGCAACCAGAGGTCTCTTCACAGTCCCCAGGTCCAGAATAAAGGCTGGGAAACGCACAGTATTAAATAGAGCTATGACTACATGGAACTCTCTGCAACCCCAGGTAACTCAAGCTTGCAATAAAACCAGTTTCAGAAAACTGCACAAAGGGGCCTGTGAAGAGACAGCCATTTTATAGATCTTGTATTGTAATTTGCACTGTACTGTGTATTAGACCTAGACATTGTGTATGTACTGATATGTAGGCTATGTGCGACGTTTTAAAATGTACATATTTCAGTCCTTGACTAATAATGTTCTCTACTATGTATTATGTCAGGCTTCATGTGGACCTGGGGAAGAGTAGCTGATGCTTTTGCAGCGGCTAATGGGGATCCTAATAAATACCTAGAGGAGAGGCCAGACAGGAAAAGAGAGGGAGAGATGAGGTAGGCCTATAGGTCTGTTATGGAAGATTATAGGGTTCTGCTGAAAGTCAAATTACAGTCTTGGACAAGAGGGAGACAGTGACATGTCTGCTGCTTCTTAAAACCGTACTCAAGGGTGTGTGGGAGTGTGAACTTGAGGATCACACTGTCTCAAATGTAAGGGTTTCCCAACTCATATCTTTCATCAGAGGTAGCACAGCCAATGAGTGTGTGTGTCCTTGGCACGTGGTGGGTTCCATCGCTAGGCCCTGCTCAAAGCTCCAACACACACTGTGCCCATGACCTTGTCCCTAGACTCCCTACCAGAGTGTGGTTAGCAGTTAGTCAAACACCCACATACCAGGCAAAAGGTCATTGTCCTAACTACTATTTACAGATAAAGAGTTCCCAGTAACTCACTGCCGGATTTTATCAATCCACACAACAACCTGTTTCTGTTTGTACACCACAAGTGTGAGTGTCTGCCCATTTATAGCCTGTTTGACTAAGTTAACTCATTTTATTGATCTACCCTACCGGTCAAAAGTTTTAGAACACCTCCTCATTCAAGGATTTTTCTTGATTTTTACTATTTTCTACATTGTAGAATAATAGTGAAGACATCAAAACTATGAAATAACACATATGGAATCATAAAGTAACCAAAATAGTGTTATACAAATCAAAATATATTTTATATTTGAAATTCTTCAAATAACCACCCTTTGCCTTGATGACAGCTTTGCACACTCTTGGCATTCTCTCAACCAGCTTCACCTGGAATGCTTTTCCAACAGTCTTGAAGGAGTTCCCACATTTGCTGAGCACTTGTTGGCTGCTTTTCCTTCACTCTGCGGTCCAACTCATCCCAAACCATCTCAATTTGGTTGAGGTCGGGGGATTGTGGAGGCCAGGTCATCTGATGTAGCACTCCATCACTCTCCTTCTTTGTAAATTAGCCCTTACACAGCCTGGAGGTGTGTTGGGTCATTGTCCTGTTGAAAAACAAATGATAGTGGGACTAAGCCCAAACCAGATGGGATGGCATATCGCTGCAGAATGCTGTGGTAGCCATGCTGGTTAAGTGTGCCTTGAATAAAAACAAAATCACAGACAGTGTCACCAGCAAAGCACCCCCACACCATCACACCTCCTCCTCCATGCTTTATGGTGGGAAATACACATGCGGAGATCATCCATTCACCCACACCGCGTCTCACAAAGACACAGCGGTTGGAACCAACGATCTCAAATTTGGACTGGTTAAATGTCCATTGCTCGTGTTTCTTGGCCCAAGCAAGTCTCTTCTTCTTATTGGTGTCCTTTAGTAGTGGTTTCTTTGCAGCAATTCGACCATGGAGGCCTCATTTCATGCAGTCTCCTCTGAACAGTTGATGTTGAGATGTGTCTGTTACTTGAACTCTGTGAAGCATTTATTTGGCCTGAATTTTCTGAGGCTGGTAACTAATGAACTTATCCTCTGCAGCATAGGTACAGTGAGGGAAAAAAGTATTTGATCCCCTGCTGATTTTGTACGTTTGCCCACTGACAAAGACATGATCAGTCTATAATTTTAATGGTAGGTTTATTTGAACAGTGAGAGACAGAATGTTATAAATTGATTTGCATTTTAAATTAGGGAAATAAGTATTTGACCCCTCTGCAAAACATGACTTAGTACTTGGTGGCAAAACCCTTGTTGGCAATCACAGAGGTCAGACGTTTCTTGTAGTTGGCCACCAGGTTTACACACATCTCAGGAGGGATTTTGTCCCACTCCTCTTTGCAGATCTTCTCCAAGTCATTAAGGTTTCGAGGCTGATGTTTGGCAACTCAAACCTTCAGCTCCCTCCACAGATTTTCCATGGGATTAAGGTCTGGAGACTGGCTAGGCCACTCCAGGACCTTAATATGCTTCTTCTTGAGCCACTCCTTTGTTGCCTTGGCCGTGTGTTTTGGGTCATTGTCATGCTGGAATACCCATCCACGACCCATTTTCAATGCCCTGGCTGAGGGAAGGAGGTTCTCACCAAAGATTTGACGGTACATGGCCCCGTCCATCGTCCCGGTGAAGTTGTCCTGTCCCCTTAGCAGAAAAACACCCCCAAAGCATAATGTTTCCACCTCCATGTTTGACGGTGGGGATGGTGTTCTTGGGGTCATATGCAGCATTCCTCCTCCTCCAAACATGGCGAGTTGAGTTGTTGCCAAAGAGCTCGATTGGTCTCATCTGACCACAACACTTTCACCCAGTTCTCCTCTGAATCATTCAGATGTTCATTGGCAAACTTCAGACAGTGCTATGAAAAATGTATTTGCCCCCTTTCTAATTTTCTCTACTTTTGCATATTTGTGATACTGAATGTTATCAGATATTCAACCAAAACCTAATATTAGATAAAGGGAACATAAGTGAACAAATAACACAACAATTACATATTTATTTCATAAACAAAGTTATGCAACACCCAATTCCCCTGTGTGAAAAAGTAATTGCCCCCTTACACTCAATAACTGGTTGTGCCACCTTTAGCTGCAATGACTCCAACCAAATGCTTCCTGTAGTTGTTGATCAGTCTCTCACGTCGCTGCGGAGGAATTTTGGCCCACTCTTCCATGCAGAACTGCTTTAACTCATTGACGTGTGGGTTTTCAAGCATTAACTGCTCGTTTCAAGTCCTGCCACAACATCTCAATTGGGATTAGGTCTGGACTTTGACTAGGCCATTCCAAAACGTCCAATTTTTTGCTTTTTAGCAATTTCCATGTAGACTTGATTGTGTGTTTTGGATCATTGTCTTGCTGCATGACCCAGCTGCCCTTCAGCTTCAGCTCACAGACGGATGGTCTGACATTCTCCTGTAATTAATTAATTAGAATTCACTGATACAGAGCAGAATTCATGGTTCCTTCTAATAAGGCAAGTCATCCAGGTCCTGAGGCAACAAAGCATCCCCAAACCATCACACCACCACCACGCTTAAAATAAAAATAAAATGCCATTTAGAAGACGCTTTTATCCAAAGCGACTTACAGTCATGTACGCATACATTTTTACGTATGGGTGGTCCCGGGGATCGAACCCACTACCCTGGCGTTACAAGCGCCATGCTCTAC